GATTATACAATTATAATTCTATTTTTTCTTTCTATATTATCATTAGTTATTGAATATAATAAAGTTATTATAAAGTTATTATAAGGAAAACTATATACTTTTATAAGAAATACATATATTACTTATATAAATTTATAGATTTGATATTTATTGCAATAATATCACAATCGATAAGGACTGGATATATAAAGAAAAATATATAATAGTATGCTAATTGTATAAACAATAAGAATATTACTGATTCTTTTAAAAGTTTATCATTATTATACTAATTAAGCCTTTAAAAATAGAGAAAAACTTTATGTGTAAATATGTTTTATACATTATATATAGATATATATAATATATATATAACAAGTAATATCTTAATTTTTCTTTTTAAAGTTTTTACAAATAATTCTACAAATCAATATAATATTTCAAAATCGATATATCTCTATATTCCTGATTTTGTTATATCAATTTAGCTTTCTGTTTTCTTTTCAAATCCTTTTATTTAATTTAATAATTGCTTTTATAATAATAATAATAATAATAATAATAATAATAATAATGAATCTATTTTTCTATTTTTATATAATATAATATATATGAGGGCCAGCCCTCAAGCCCCCGATCCTCGCTACATTCGAGTTTAAAATTATATATAGAATATATAACGTAGTTTATCAGCATGTGGCTCATATCAGCATATAGCCTATTTTCATTTCAATTTACACTTTTAAATTCATATTATTCAACAATAATCTAGGATTTATTATATTATTCTGATAAGTTTTTGTATTATGTTCTATCTTTTATATTTATTATAATATTTATTAGAAGATATTTCCTTATTAGAATTCCTTTTTTTTTGATGTTTGTTATGTTGAATCTGAATATCGATTTTTTGTTGAGATAATATATTAAGAGTTTTTTGTTTAGTAAGTATTCTTTTTTAATATAATTAGGTTTTTTTTGTATATTGATATTTATTTAATACTTCATTTGCTTTTCAAAGTATATGAATCTTTGTATTCAAAAGTGTATTTTTATAAGCTAATCTTTTTATATCTTTAATTAAAATTAGTATAATCTTAAATATAGATATAAAGGAGTTTAATTAATAATAAATTATTCGAGATTTAATTAATATTGATTAAGAAAAAGCTTTAATTAGATTATAAGGAATTTAAAAAATTTATTGATTTAAATTGAAAAAGGGGAAAATAGATATATGAATTCGAATATCTAATTTCAAAAATACAGCTTTAGAATTAAATAATATTAAATTTATTCTTTGGAATCCTGATTTTATATTCTAAGAGGTGATTGATTTTTTTGTATATAATTTTAAAAGCTATAAAGAATTCAATCTTCGAAATATAATTGATATGTATTTTGATAAATCTATCAATTTGATTATTATATAAATATTTTAGATTATTAAAACAGTTAATATCAAGTGATTGAATTAAATGATTTAAATGTAATGATAAATGTAAATATATAATATCATTCTCTTTATAGTATATTTGAAAAGCTATTGATTTATGATTTTCATACTTATTCAGTATTAATACTTGATATTTGCTTTTTCTTTGATTCTTAGCATACTTATTAAAGTGTTTCAATTATTCTAAATCTGTTTTATTATTTGGTTTATTTATTAGATATAGATTTAATAGCTTGGTTTATAGAAAGATCAGTTTTGGTATATTAATTGAAGAAATAAATCTATTCTTGAATACTAGAAATAGGGGAATAGTTTTATTCTTTTTATTTTTATATATTATTGCTATAATTTATTCTTGATTATCTAATTATATTGATTTACTTTTATTGTATTTTTTAATATTAGTAATAATTATTATTGTATATATAATCTTTATTATAAGTCTGTTTTGTTGAAATTATAAAAATCGTTATTCAAAATATTGTATTTCGCTTATATATTTATAATTAATCAAAATTATTCTTTAATAAGTTTAGAATCTTTATAAAAAGCTTTTTGAAAATTATAAATATAATTAAAATATATTTTTAATTCAATTCGATATTTTACAAATCAATATACTTAAAGTTTTCTATATTCTTTGTATCTTTCGATTCGAGAATATGATTTACTATATCTTTTATATTTCTGAATTTAAATAAAAAATCTTTAAATTTATATTAAATATTATTCGATAATAGATATTCTCTTTTAATTTAAAAGATTATGAGATTTATATTGATATTCTGTATAAAAGATAAACTGTTAAGTCTATATTATAAGTATTGTATATAGGATATTACTATATATTAGCAATCTTTCGAATACTTTGTTTTTTGTCTTTCTGAATAGCTTCAATAGTAAGGAGTATATAGGCTTTTGATTATTCGACTTCATAATGGATTGTTGATAAAATGCATGTTGAAAGAGAAAGGTATAAATTGAGGTGCAAGTGGGCCACATGCTGATATGGGCTTTATGCTGATAAACTACGTTTTATTTTTATTGTTTTTTTACTTTTATTTTCTCTTTCTCTTATTTATTAGATTTATTAGATTTATTAGATTTATTAGATTTATTAGCTTTGTTAGAATATAAAATCTATAATACTATATATCGTTTCATTTTCAAACTTTTTTAATGTTACGTATTCTTATTACATTCGAAATTATATATAATTATCTTTAACTTATCTAAATCCCTTTAAAAAAAATTCAGCCATTAGATATTAACAAAATCACTTCTTTATATACTTAAGCCTTTCAATAGCATACAATATAAATATTAGTTCCTTTAATATTTGAATCTCTGTAGAAAGTATTAGAAGCTATTACTTTTCCTTCTCAGCGATTAAGAAAATGCTAATAAAATACTTATAAACTACATCTAGAGTATAATTAATTCTATTAATCTATATAAACAATTGATTATTCTATAAAAATATAGTTTAACTCAAAGTTATTTAATAAGTTAATTAATATCGATATCTCGAATTTTCTTATTAATGTTCAAACAAACTAGACTTTATCTCTCAATATTCTATCAACTTATCGCTGTTGACAATCAAGAAGTATAGATTTTTAACCTATAATATTTAAGGGAAAGATCTTTAAAAAATTTAAAAGGCTCGTTTAGACTTCGAATTGTTACGTTCTTTCATTATAAATATTATTTTTATAATCATAATCTCTAACATTAATATTCTTTATCTCAATATCTCGATAGTTTTCTCAAGATATCTATTTTAATTAAAAGTAATTACTTTAGTATTTTAATCTTCATTTCAATATTACTATTATAGTTTTAGCATCAGAATATCCTTAAAATTCAACAATATTTACAATGTTCTATTTATTTTTTGGAAAAATAAAGTACACAAGAATAATTATTACATGAAGATGTTTCTAGAGCTTGATAAATTTCAAATACTCTAATTTTAGAAAACATAAAAATATCTATAAAATTTAAGATTCGAAATTTATTTCTCCTTGAGTATCATTATAAAGAGAATTATAGATCTCAAAGGCTTCCTAAAAAAAATCGAAAAAGCTCAACTTCCTATATATACTTTAACTCAAAACATAATTATTGTATATCTAAGCTGGAATAATATAATAATATATATAAAAAATTAATCATACGAATGACTATATACTAGACCACACGTCTTGTTTAATATTAGACAAGGTTTTAGATTACGTTCGAATCATTTTCTTCTATATTTAAATAAATAATTAAAATAATAAGAATATTAGATTTTAAAGCTAATATAGATATAAATATATTTTGAAGTAATATTGAAATAACATAAGACTATACTAATTAGATTACAATTAAATAAAGAAAGTAAATCAAACTCCTCTTTTCCTGAGGTCCAGGAGTAACTCCCGAATCCCGTCGATTTCGAAAAGATTAAAACCCAGCCTAGCTCTCAAGCAACAACAGAACAGGTAGGTTCTACTCCCTGTGGGAGTATATATACAATATATAGCACGTATCATATCATATCATACTATGACTGTTAGCATTTCAACTTCCACTCGTTACATCAAGTAACATATCAGACGACAATCCTATTATCCTTTTCTTTCGACTCTGTATTCAGCGAACTCCTGTTTGGTATATCCCGAATGACAAGTTAAAATACTCAACCTTAGTAGCCTTTTCAATACTTCAATCCTGCATATTCATTTGTAAAGATGGAACGAGTTCGAGGGGAGAATATTCAGAACGCGGAACAAAGACTTCATAATCGGTTAAATGTAGACCTGATATTTGGAACACTTAGTTGGAGTTATGCCGGTAGGCCCCAGATATAAAAACAAATGACGACATTAGAGGCTACAGTGTCCTGTGTGAAGATAAATCCACAAGTCAAGTTTGTCCAGTGTAGAACAGACTATGAAGGTGCCAATCGCTCAACCCAAACAAAGTGCCTCCGTCACAAGCTAAATTCAAGTTCTCTCCACGTGCATGTCGGAAAACAGAGCGGCTCAAGGGCAAACAAACAGAGATGAACCAGGCATGAGAAGGCCATCCGCTGCTACCGAAGCAGACATTTATATTGTTTCAACGGGGAATCAGGGTCACCGATGAAGTTTATATCTACTGCCAGAGATGGTAAAGCGGGTGTATTGCAAATTTCAACGAGAAACTGTAGATCAGATAACACACATGTAAAGACCGTTTCAAATTGAAACAGCATCACTGTACGGTATGGGAGGATCCAGACAGTGTCGGATTCATGGCCAGTAGCACGGTGATCTACATACTATCATCTCAAGAGAACAAATGATTGAAAGCAATTGAGAATAATCAATCCACGTAGTAGCCAGAGGACATGATGAAGCTGACCTCATACTATTGAAGAACTCAGATGAACGTACTAGATACCATCATATTATTCGAGAACATCAGTTGTCATAAAGGCAAATAAGCATGATGAAAATAAAAATAGCAAAGGTGAGTTATATGGAGGACATAAAATGCAGGAAGGCGGTGACACGAAAGACGTTGGAGAGGAAGAAAAGTGGTACCACCCAAGGATGGCACGTCATTCACATTTAATGCCAAGAAACAACAATAACACCGAAAGACGCGTACAGAAACACCATCACGAGTTGGAACAGATATATGAAGATCAAGAATTGTGTTTTGATGGTTTTGATTATCTCATGGACCAACCATGCCGGAATACCCCAATATCCTTATGATACAATAAACACCTGAAAGCAAAGACCCATTTCCGTAACACACCCATCTTCCGACACAACAAGCCGAGGAAGAAAATTCATAAAGACGTAGAAAAGAACCGTAAATATGCAACCGTTTAACCACCGAAACCGTAGAGAGTACGTCCTTGGCGCTTGAGTGCGTAGACAACGTCGAGGGATGTGACAGTCTTTCTCTTCGCGTGCTCAGTGTATGTGACAGCGTCGCGGATAACACCCTCCAAGAAGCTCTTCAGAACACCACGGGTCTCTTCGTAGATCACTAAGTGAGAATGTTAGATGTATATTCGTGTGACGAGATGTGCGAACTGGTAACTTACTGGCTGAGATACGCTTGACACCACCACGACGTGCGAGACGTCTAATAGCTGGCTTAGTTATGCCTTGGATGTTGTCTCTCAAAATCTTGCGATGACGCTTAGCGCCACCCTTTCCGAGACCCTTGCCACCCTTTCCGCCTGTAAAGAAGACGCGTTAGTAAATTGAACGCGACGAGAGGAAGGAATGAATCCAATTGAATGGAGGTGAGGTAAGGCAAGGACAGGGAAGATACTTACGTCCAGTCATGATGAATGTGGGTTATTAAAAGGAGATTGTGTTTGGGGTATTGGTATTTGGTTGTTTGAAATTTGGAATGGCGTTGTGGAATAGAATATGGAGATAATAAGAATTGGTACTTGGGAAGAAGTTCTGTAGTTCTTATGAAAAGATGCACTAAGGCCCCTTCCGCATCACCACGCTAAGTTAAAAACGCGCTAACACCAATCGGTTCAACATCAACAACAGGCCAGAGCAAGCTTGGTAAGCACGGATTGAAATTATGATTGGTTGGATTGAGAAGGTCAGAATGCCGGATTAATTGATCAATGCAATAAGGCTGTGAAATTAGGTGGAAGTTAGAAGTTAGAACCTAATGGGCAGGTGCTTGATTACGGATGAGGAAAGGGTTTTATGCTTCATGGGGTCGGTAGGTACAGTCACATGTATGTATGTATGTATGTATTGATAGCAACCACTAAGATAGGTAGGTAGGCAGAGAAGAGGAGTACCGGATTATCTTCACCAAGCATTCACAGGTGGACGAGGAAATACAATTCAGTTCCATCCAGAATGGCTTTTCACCCACTCATTATCGGCGTTGAGTCACTGCTGAGATCGTCACATTAGGTTGAAACTCAGGGGTGTAACACAAAGGCTTGCAAGCACGGTAGAGTGTCCATTCACCAATTTGTTGCGGCATCGTTGTTCTTTTCTTGAAAGATGATGAATGGTAAGCATTTACCAGCAGGATGAAACCAGTAGTATCTAGTAGTCGTATCGAGCAGTAGTAACTTCCATTTGCCTTTTATTGTATAGTACAGGGTGTAACAGCACTCCCAAATCCATATCCAAATTCAAATCCAAATGCCATGCCACACAATACTTACACCTAATACCTGTTCCTCTTCCATTCCTCCATCCTTCTTTCGGATCTTTCCCCAGTATATTCACCATCCGCTTGCACTTGACTGGGTAGTTGCATGATGAGATCCTTGTTTTCAAAATCAATCCACTTTGTACCGCTTTAAAAAATGCAAGTTGAATTCTCATTGGTCGGTTTACTTTAAAAAACAAAAGTTCTTTTTTCAAGCGATTTGAACAACTCAAAGCTCCTTCCTTTCCTACAGATTACACTAGCGTGGTTTTTTCCACAAAAGCACAGCCAAATCAATCACTCACTAGCGTACTTTCGGATACAAATAATCGCCATCGCCCATTTCCATCTCTTTTCTTCTACATCATACAACCACCACTTCAATATCCACTTCATCAACCCACAACAACCATAAAAGAACTCCATCAAATTATCCATTAGAAGTATCAACAATGGCTCGTACAAAGCAAACTGCCCGTAAGTTATTATCCTCATCCTCTCCATTACCCTTCAATCATTACCTCTTTGTCGCGTCGGTCGCAATATTTCACGTTTGCGACCGATCGCCATTTGCAACAACGTGACTCCTCCACTTCGCCACAACAACATCACAACTTGAGCATCGTTGCTAATACTTTATAGGTAAATCCACTGGTGGTAAGGCACCAAGAAAGCAACTTGCTTCCAAGGCTGCCCGTAAGAGCGCCCCTTCTACCGGAGGTGTCAAGAAGCCCCACAGGGTAATTACTCATTTGCTGTTGATTGCTCCAACAATCACTAATTCCTTTCAGATATAAGCCAGGAACTGTCGCTCTCCGTGAGATCCGTCGTTACCAAAAGTCGACTGAGCTCTTGATCCGAAAGCTCCCTTTCCAACGTCTCGTTCGTGAAATCGCTCAAGATTTCAAGTCCGACCTCCGTTTCCAATCTTCCGCCATCGGTGCTCTCCAAGAGTCCGTTGAGGCTTACCTCGTCTCCCTCTTCGAAGACACCAACTTGTGTGCCATCCACGCCAAGCGTGTCACCATCCAATCTAAGGATATCCAACTCGCCCGTCGTCTCCGTGGTGAGCGTGGTTAAATTTGGTTTCTTTCTTGACTTCTCGATGTCTTCAGCTTGAAAGCGCATCGGCTTTAGGTCGATTGACACTGGCGATGGATCGGGGTGGATGATAATGCTTTGGGGGTATCTTACAAGGGTTTTACGGCATGGAGTTCATTTTCATTTTATGGGGGACCTGCGTTCTTACAGGCTGTACATTATTCAGCCAGCGACGGTGCGCTGAGCTAATGACAACAGATAACAATTACGATTAGTTATCAATCTTTCAAACAAATATCCTCTTATCTATCACTGTGAATATCGTGATTTGTTCTATTGTTTGGAGCAACACCCACCTAATCCAGACACAGCTGCAATTGTGACCAAAGTGACTCTGCTCTACAATAGACTGCGCGTATCCGGACCAAACTAGTGGCTCGTCTTAAGCCCTCAAATATGTTGTCTTTCCCTTTTGTTGTGCATGTCTCTTCTTGCATGTACGCTACTTAATTATATGGTCGACGATCATCCATCTGTGGATGTATGCCCTTGGAACTTATCCCTCGAATAGACTACTTAGTATTTATTATTTACCCCCCTTCTACTAGTAACTCTTACTTCCTCCACATCCGCAATTCCGTCTGCTGGTAGAATATACCCATCACAAACCAAACATGCTCCAAATGTTACATGTAGCTACATAGCAGCACCTTTCCCTCATGCAATGTCAAGACAATGGCCTCACCTCAGGATTTTCTTTCGCCCTCTTCTTCCTCACTACTCCCCACATGACTTATATGCCTTTCCACCTCTACTGTTAAAGCTACTATGAACTGTTGACCAAATCGTCATCAAGATTTCTGAAAGCTTGAAGCTATCTTTTATCCCCTGGTTCATCACCCTTGATGCAAATTTTGCTGTCTCAGATCAGCAGCGTCGGGGAATTTTATCCCTTTGTAACTGTGTAAAGCGCAATTATTTTACTATGAAATGTCCAGCTGTATCCTTTCTCTTTGAATTATACCTATTTATTTCGCAACCGGTTTCCAAACCATCTGGAAAGCAAAGGACCTATAGCTTGCTTCAGATACTATGTTAAACATTCTTCTTGAAGACTTGGGAGCCTGTGATGTATCTGTTGTTCCTCCCTCATTCTCCCCCGTCCCACTACCAAGCAGCTCGTATTCAATCAGTTCTGTAAAGGGATCTCTTCAGATTTCTACACCCAAACCTCCATGATATCCGTACCACTAATGTGCATGAAACAACGTTGTGATTTATCTCTATCTTCTGGAACTTCGAAAGAAATGAATTTGATAGAAATCAATGAATTGAGATAAAGAATGCATTTAGCCATAACAATGTCACCATTTAATTTACATTTTGAACAGACCAAGCGTACCTAATCTATGCACCTTCAATGCTCCTCGAGGACACCAATCGCAGGTTACTGTTCTCCTCCTCCATTAGAGGGTAGCGGTGAACAGCACTATCTCAGGAATAACATGTTGCAGAGCCTGCTCCTCCAAACATACGCCACATATTTACAATCTCCCAGGAAAAATATCACTTCACCCTTGCGTTTGGACCTCACAAGCAAAGCAAGCTTTGAGGTAATCTTTACATTTATGAGGATTTAGGTATCTGAAGCTGGGAGAAGTGTGATTAGGTATACTTTGAACAGTGAGCATGAGAAGAGGCTTTGAATTGTGAGTCATCGAGAATTGAAAGATCATACCGTTTAAAGTATGGAGCAGTCAAATGATAAACGTGAATATATGTTCCGTTCCTAGAGATTGAAGCAGTGAAGGCAATGAATATTGATGGATAATTCACCAAGACGCGTCGAAGAGTCTACATCAAAGGTTCGGTTCGTCGGTGTCCCATGTAGGCAGTTACGGTCATTGTTCAAGAAGAAGAAAGAAAGACTTTTGGTGAATCTTTCCTTTCCACAAAGTAAAAGTAAAAACGCAATTTATAAAAACCAAAGCATGCCCCAGAATGTTCAGATAGTAAAATAGTACTAAACGTCGCGTTGAGTTGGTATGAAATGCTGCTTCTCCAACTGGCCTGAAGTAACAGCACGGATGCGGTGCCGCTTTTGAGCCAGCCCTACGCCTTACAAGAAGGTTATTTTACTTCAACCTCAAATACAGCCATTGTTAATCAGCAACATCAACAGCACCAACAGGGCTGCCTCTTCAAAATGAAGTTCAATATTGAGTATGTGTTTGTTAAACTGATAGGGAAAAGTATCATTTGAACTGATAGATGAACCAGTGATTTGCCAGTGCTCTTTCCATATCCTAGGATATATCCAGGTAGGCATCCAAGATGATCTTGATACTGAGTCCAAATTCTGATTTGTTATATAGAACAATATGCGTATGTTATTCACTTGGCTGCAGTTTACACCAGAAAGAGCGTTCGATGCTAATGTATGATGTTAAATCAGCTATATGTGCGATCTGAAAAGTATTTTGCCCCTACCTACTCACCGTAAGATCATCCGTTGCTGATACGTTTGACAGGAACGCTTGATGCCGGCGGCCATTGCGTTTTGGAGATGCCTTCGGGTACTGGAAAGACTATCTCACTGCTGTCTTTGATCGTTGCGTATCAACAATACTACCCAGAGCATCGGAAACTCATTTACTGCTCACGTGATACAACCCAATCCTGAAGATGAAGGAGACATGCTAATGAGTGCTTAGGTACTATGTCCGAAATTGAAAAAGCGTTGGCAGAATTGAAAGCTCTTATGAAATATAGGGCGGAACAACTCGGACACCAGGAAGATTTTCGTGGATTGGGATTGACTAGTCGTAAAAATTTATGTCTTCATCCTTCTGTGAAGCGGGAGAAGAGTGGTGCTGTTGTGGATGCTCGCTGTCGAAGTTTGACTGCTGGATTTGTGAAAGAGAAGAAGGAGAGGGGTGAAGATGTACCGGTGTGCATTTATCATGATGTAGGTTTTTCGTTGCCATGTTGATCAGCATCGTATTGACGCGTCTATAATAGAACCTGGACCTCCTCGAACCACATAATCTTATACCAAATGGAGTATGGACGTTAGATGGGATAATGAGATATGGCGAGGAACACAAACAATGCCCATACTTTACCTCCAGGCGAATGGTGAGTGGTAATGTCTTTGCAGCTTCAGTAACTAATGGAACTAGATGTCCTTCTGCAACGTGATCATTTACTCGTACCATTACTTACTCGACCCCAAAATTGCCGAGAGAGTTTCTAAAGAGCTGTCAAAGGATTGCATAGTCGTATTTGACGAAGCACACAATATTGATAACGTGTGCATCGAATCCTTAAGTACTGATATCACGGATGACTCGCTTCGAAGGGCCACTCGTGGAGCAATGAATCTCGAAAGCAGGATTTCAGACTTAAGGGATAGCGATTCAGAAAAACTCAAGGATGAATACGCCAAGTTGGTCGAGGGACTACGCGGTGCTGACGAAGCTCGAGCAGAAGATGCCTTCATGTCAAATCCTGGTTCGTTTGTATTCTATCTCACACCAAAAATGCGTGGTCACTCACATCTTTCTAGCTTTACCAGATGATCTCCTCAAGGAAGCTGTCCCGGGAAATATTCGGAGAGCTGAGCATTTTGTCGTTTTTCTGAAACGCTTTATCGAATACCTCAAGGTAAGTAAAGCTATAGCCACATCAAAAAGCTAGCGGCTAATCTTAAGAAGACACGAATGAAAGTCCGGCAAGTTATTTCGGAGACACCGGCATCTTTCTTAGCTCATCTAAAAGAGTACACATATATCGAGAAGAAGCCGCTTAGATTTTGCGCAGAACGTCTAACATCTCTTGTGCGGACTTTGGAACTTACTAACATTGAGGATTATCAGCCACTTCAGGAGGTTGCAACTTTTGCCACCCTCGTAGCGACATATGAAAAGGGATTTCTTCTTATACTTGAGCCTTATGAGTCTGATACCGCCGAAGTTCCCAATCCTGTTCTTCACTTCACCTGTCTTGATGCCGCGATAGCAATCAAGCCCGTCTTTGAGCGTTTCAGCTCCGTAATTATTACGTCAGGTACCATTTCTCCACTCGAAATGTATCCTAAAATGCTCAATTTTGAGTGCGTTGTTCAGGAGTCTTACCCCATGACTCTCGCTCGACGCTCTTTTTTGCCTATGATTGTCACAAGAGGATCTGACCAGGTTGCGATTTCTTCGGGATTCCAAGTTCGAAATGAGCCTGCTGTTGTCCGTAATTACGGCAATTTACTAACAGAGATGTCTAAGCTCACTCCGGATGGCATGGTCGTTTTCTTCCCATCCTACTTATACATGGAGTCGATAATTAGTATGTGGCAAGGAATGGGCATCTTAGATGAGGTTTGGAAATACAAGCTCATTCTCGTGGAAACTCCTGATGCACAAGAAACATCTCTAGCACTAGAGACCTATCGCACGGCGTGCTGTAACGGACGAGGAGCTATCCTTCTTTGTGTCGCTCGTGGAAAAGTCAGTGAGGGTATCGACTTCGACCACCAATACGGACGCACTGTGCTATGTATTGGAGTACCATTCCAGTATACCGAATCTCGAATCTTGAAAGCGCGATTAGAGTTCCTCCGTGAAACATACCGGATCAGAGAGAATGACTTCCTATCCTTCGATGCCATGAGACATGCAGCCCAATGTTTGGGACGTGTTCTTAGAGGGAAAGATGATTACGGAATCATGGTGTTGGCCGATCGTCGATTCTTGAAGAAACGAACTCAATTGCCAAAATGGATCAACCAGGCGATTCTCGATAGTGAAGTCAATCTGAGTACGGATATGGCGGTAGGAAGTGCGAAGAAATTTTTACGGAATATGGCACAGCCATTCAAGGCCAAGGATCAGGAGGGAATCAGCACGTGGAGCTTGCAGGATCTGGAGAAATTCAAGGAGAAGCAGTATGAAGAGACGCTTCAAGCATTGAGAGGTGGTGGAAAGGGCGACCCAATGGATGGCATCAAGAATGGCAACGAGCAAACAGTTAAAAAAGATGAGTATGGCATGGATGATGATGAAATGGAGGCGTCGTTGATGCAGTTAGATGCGTAGGTAGACTTTGATGGATAGTTATCTATTGACGATAGGAAAGGATATGCATCATGATTGTAAGATAGCAATGGCAGCTTTGTGGCCCAAGAAAGGAAGATAAATTGGTTCATTTGGTATCTAATTCTGGGGTAGGGCTCTAATAATGAAAAGTTATAACTACGGCCATTACTTCTAATTCATGCTCTTCGCCACAGTCCAAAAGCTGTCCATTTTTGACCTTGTCAAGGCATCTCGAGCTGCACTATCTGTCTCGCACACCTTACTTTGCCACTTCCTGAATGCTCTAGACTTCTGCTCTCCTTCCCAGACTAATTGGCATTTGTTCAGCGTCATATCCTTCAACTCTCCTTTCTCATCTTCTGCCTTCAACCAATCTTGCAATGCATCTGCTTTTGTACCCTCCTTGATTCGTGTGGGTGAGTTTTCAGTCCAGTCTATTCGTTGCATCATTAGTTTTTTATATTGCCTGATACTATGCTCGCCACCCTCGACAACTACCAGATTGAATCTTGGATGTAGAATACAGATGCCTGTGAGAGCATGCTGTTCTGCGTTTTTGGCGATTTTGAATCTGTGACTACCATTCGCAAGGCTCCCAATCTTAAATACTAAAGCATGAATGCCCTTTGCGGCATCCTTCTCCTGATTTGCAGCCAGTTTCTCGTGTCTCTGTTCTTTTGTCAACTTTCGATCTTGGTTCGTCTCGACATGTTTCTGGTGTCGATCTGCAATTTCTCGGTTGACACGAGCTTCGACTGCGGTTGGATCCTTGACAGCTTCTTCTCCTAATACACGCATAAGATTTCCCTTCTTGACCTTTGGAGGCGGCGCGGGCTCTAATCCAAGTCTAATCTTTGCTTGCTGTTCCTTCAATTCAGCCATTCGACGCTGTCTCCGTAGTTTGGCTTGTTCTTTCGCGGTCAGGAACATAGGTTTAGGCGCAGGCGCATTCTTTTCCTGAGGCGGTTCAAGTAAAACGGGATGCTGAACATATTCTGTAATAATTGAGTCTGGGGTGCCGATTTTGAGAGTCTTTGGATTCGAAATATCGTCATAATTCTTGCCATCTACCAGGCCTTCATCCCACCATTCGATCTCTGGCGGTGCTTCAACAAGGAATTTCTTCTCGGTATCGATATCCTCGTCAATACCAATCTTTCGCGAAGACTCGGCGATACGCTTTTTCATAGCCTCTAGGGCAGCCTGTCTTCGAAGCGCATTCGCTTGTGCTATATACTTCCCCTTCTGGTTGAAAACTAGTTGTCTCGAGTGTCGATTCTTTGGCGTTGCTGTTTGCCCACCTAGGCTCATATCAAAGTATGGATTGTTGCGAATCTCTTCCGTCGAAGGCCCCGAAATATCGAGTTGTTTCCTAGGCTTCGCCGTCGCCTTTTCTTGTTGAGGGCGAGCATTTCCGATGCTGGTTGCGAACTTGGGCGCAGTTGATTTTGAGGGCTTGTATTGTCCAAGGTCTTGCAGTGCTGGGTGGAGATCGACATTCAAACCTCCTTTCGCAAGCATAGGATGTAAACCGACATTTAACCCACCCTTTGCCTTGCTACCACCGACTGCAGCTGCGACTCTAGCTTTTAGAGATGCGAGCTTCTCGGCAGCAGACTCTGGCTTGCCAACACGGCTGGAAGAATCATGTCGAGGTGCCAAAATTGGAGAGGCTTTCCCTCGATCCATGTTGTCAAAAATATATGTTTGTCAATTGTGTATTAGAAAAGAGATATGTGGCGCACACACACCAAGTTGGTGATCCTGAAGTATCGTAATCGTTAAGTGCTCACACGCGAATCATGAGGAAGCTTTGCCTGGCCGTACCAAAAACCTAGAACTTTAGCAAGCACGTGATCAACAGATGGGGTTATCGTGCTGCCTTATCAGCACCAGGGGCCGGCGAAAAAAAGTTTCCCCGACGAAAGGAACTTTTTTTTGTATCTACATTGAAGCTTCAACTTGCGAACTCTACGGAATCGCAAATTTCCAATCTAATCCCACAACCTATGGCAGTATTCCTGCTTTAGCGTTAACTGCCAATCACAATGAATATCTCACAGCCAGTTCCGTCAGCCATTGAGAGCGTTGACTTTGCATTTCTTTCCACGGTTGAGATTAAATCTCTCTCTGTAAAGAGGATAGAGAATCCTGTTACTTTTGACAGTCTTCTTCACCCAGTTCCAGGAGGTCTTTACGATCCAGCCTTAGGCGCATGGGGTGACAATAAGTAAGCAATATGTCCATTCAATTGCATAGAATACTAACATTAGAAAGCTGCACGACATGTAATCTCAGTTCCTTTTCCTGCCCGGGTCATGCAGGCCATATCGACCTACCCGCACCTGTTTACCACCCAACTTTTATGGACCAAGTTTTGCGATTATTGCGATCAAAATGCAAGTATTGTCATCAGTTTAGAATGTCGCGCAAGGAGGTCAATCGATACGTTTGCAAGTTGCGCCTGATTCAACAGGGTCTGCTGAGCGCCGCCGAGGAGATTGAAAATATCGAAGTTGCTCAGCCAAAGGAAGGAGAAGAGCCTGCTAGTGATTCGGACGACGAGTCTTCCGTCGACAGTGTCATTCGAAGACGACTTGCATTTGTCAAAAAGGAGCTCAAGGCCGCTAAGGCCTCTGGATGGGAATGGAGAAGGGAAAAGCATGAAGGTGTGGCTGAAGCACGCCGAGTTGTAGTTAAGAGCTTTATGAAAGCAATAACTGCAGGAAGGTTATGTGGAAACTGTCAAGGTATATCTCCAACTTACCGCAAGGACCGATATGTAAAGATTTTTGAGAAGTCTTTGAGTGTCAAGGATAAGGCCAAGATGGCTCAAGGCAGCTATCGAGCTGTGAATGCCGTTCAATTGGTTCATGGCGAGAAGAAAGATCGGGATGGCGACGAAGGTATTGCAGATATCGACTTGGAATCCAACGAGGATGAGGAGGAAGGCGAAGGCGAGAGCCTTGATGTGGATGGGGATGTAGTCATGGATGGCTCTGCGACTCCAAGCTCTAAACCTCGAGTCGCACCACTACCACAGCGATATGTCGATGCTATGGAAGTCAAAGCATCATTGACATTGCTGTTCGAAAAAGAGCAAGAGATTCTATCCCTTGTTTACAATTCCCGATCATCCGCCAAGAAGCCATCCGCGGTTAAAGCAGATATGTTCTTTCTACAAACACTTCTTGTCCCTCCAAATAGATACCGCCCCGAAGCGAAGACAGGCGATGGCGAAATTGCCGAAGCACAACAAAATTCACTGTACAAGCAGATTTTGAAGAGTGCTGATACTGTGAACCAAATTTACCTCGATATCCAGAATCCCGATAGGCCGTCGCAAAGCCAAACATTGAGAAAGAGAGATTTCTTTGACCTCCAAGAAGCGTGCTGTTCAATGCAGGACGCTGTCAACTCCTTGATCGATAGAGATCGAAATCCTATCCAAGGTGCAGCTGGAAAGAAGAACGAAGATGGAATCAAGCAAAAATTGGAGAAAAAGGAAGGTCTTTTCAGAAAGAATATGATGGGTAAACGTGTCAACTTTGCTGCTCGTTCCGTCATCTCTCCAGATCCAAATATCGAAACAAACGAAATCGGTGTTCCTCCTGTTTTCGCCAAGAAACTCACATACCCAGAACCTGTCACAAGCCACAACTTCAAGGAAATGCAGCAAGCAGTAATTAATGGTGTTGACAAATGGCCTGGTGCTGCTGCAATTGAAAACGAGAATGGGCAAGTTATCAATCTACGCTCAAAGACACAGGACGAAAGAATGGCACTAGCGAATCAGTTGCTTGCATCGTCCAGTAATGGAGCTAGCGGTGCTCGCAACAAGAAAGTTTATCGACATCTTACCAACGGAGATGTTGTGCTCATGAATCGTCAACCAACTCTGCACAAGCCCTCGATTATGGGTCATAGAGCCAGAGTACTTCCAGGAGAGAAGACAATTCGCATGCACTACGCCAACTGTAATACCTACAACGCTGATTTCGATGGAGACGAAATGAACATGCATTTCCCACAAACCGAAGTTGCTCGCGCAGAAGCGCTACAGATTGCTGACACTGATCACCAATATCTGAGTGCAACCGCTGGTAAACCTTTAAGAGGTTTGATTCAAGATCATATTTCCGTTTCCGTTTGGATGTGTAACAAAGATACATACTTTGATCGAGCTACCTATCAACAACTTATCTACAATTGCATTCGCCCAGAAAGTGGACACATTGTAGGCGAACGTATAGAGACTGTGCCACCTGCAATCATTAAACCTGTCGCACGCTGGACTGGAAAGCAAGTCATCACAACAATATTAAAAAATATCACACCTCTCAATTGCGCCCCAATATCTCTTACAGGAAAAACACAAACTCCAGCTGATCGATGGGGTGCGGATTCAGAGGAAGGTGTTGTACTTTTTAAGGGCGGTGAGTTCATTACTGGAATTCTGGACAAAGCCCAGATCGGTCCTGCTGGAGGTGGTCTCATCCACTCTGTTCATGAGGTCTATGGCCCTGCCACAGCTGGAAAGCTTCTCAGTATTCTTGGTCGTTTACTGACTAAGTATCTCCATATGAGGGCTTTCACTTGCGGAATGGATGATCTCAGGCTCACCCCCGAAGGTGAGAAAACACGTATTGAGACTTTGTCAGATGCTAGTAAGATTGGTCTTGAGGTGGCTGCCAAGTACGTCTCTCTCGAAGACCAAAAACCTACCGAAACAGATCAAGAGCTGCTCAACAGATTGGAGGATGTCATGAGAGACGATTCTAAACAAGCAGGTCTAGATGCGCTGATGAACGCTCGCGCCGGAAAGCTTTCTACCTCTATTACTAATGCATGCCTTCCCCAAGGTTTGGTCAAGCAATTCCCACACAACCAGATGCAGAATATGACAGTTTCTGGAGCCAAGGGTAGTTCTGTCAACGCCAATCTTATCTCTTGTAATTTGGGACAACAAGTCTTGGAAGGACGTAGAGTACCGTTGATGGTGAGCGGAAAATCTCTTCCTTGCTTCAAGCCATTCGACACCCACATTAGAGCGGGAGGTTATATTGTCAATCGTTTCTTGACTGGAATTCGGCCACAAGAATACTACTTCCACGCAATGGCTGGTAGAGAGGGTTTGATTGATACAGCAGTCAAAACTTCGAGATCCGGATATCTACAAAGATGTTTGATCAAGGGTATGGAGGGTCTTAAGGTCGAGTATGACACGTCCGTACGAGATTCCGACGGATCAATGATTCAATTTATCTACGGTGAAGATGGACTCGATGTGACCAAGCAGAAGCATTTGACCGATTTCAAGTTCTTGTTGCAGAATCTCATGTCGGAGCTTGCTCAGTTGAACTATGGCGACCCTCGCTATGATACTATTTTTGAAGAGAAGGAAACAATCATTAAACGTATGAAGAAAGCCTTGAAGCATGCGAAAGCAAATGATCTCAATGGCCCAGATCCGGTTCTCTCCGAATACAACCCTGGAAAATATGGATACGCAACATCTGAGAAATATTTTGAGACTTTGACGAACTACATGAAGACCAACCCAGATGGTATGGTTAAGGACAAGGATCATCCAGACGGTGTCGGACCAAGGAAAGCTTTGGAACCCGTTCTCGTTGCCAAATACTTGAAGTCTGTCGTTGAACCTGGTGAGGCCGTCGGTATTGTTGCCGGCCAATCTGTAGGTGAACCGTCCACACAGATGACACTCAACACTTTCCATTTGGCTGGTCACTCTTCTAAGAACGTCACACTCGGTATTCCACGTCTTCGTGAAATTGTCATGACGGCAAGTAATCATATTTCAACGCCATCCATGACTTTGACACTCAACGAAGAGCTTACGCCTGATGAATGTGAAAAATTCGCCAAGTCCATAAGTATTCTTTCATTGGCTGAGGTATTGGATTGGGCTACAGTCAAGGAGCGAATTGGTCGTGGAGTAGCTTTCCAGCAAGCTAAGATCTATGATATTCACATCAAGCTCTTCCCTTCAAAGGAGTACTGTGAAACCTACGCCATTGACGTCGATGATGTTCTTTTCACACTGCAACGAAGGTTTACATCAAAACTTCAACATCTTACACGCAAGGCTCTAGGACGAAAGAAGGTTGAAAAGGCTGGTAAAGCAAACACCGCTGCGGTACCGGAAATTGGAAAATCTGTCGGTACTATAGAAGAGGCTAGACCAGATGCAGAGAGAGAAATGGGCGAAGATGACGAAGATGGCGATGGTGATGATGATGCAACCAATGACAAGCAGAAAGCAAACCGCTCTGAAGCTGTCAGTTATGCTGCAAACGACGATGAAGATGATGCGGTTCAAGCACAAAATGCCGAGCCCGAAGATGTTGAAGACATGGAAGACGAGGGCATTGGGGGTAGTCCACGTGCACCACAAAGTGATGATGAAGATGAAGGTGATGACGAGAATGGAGAACGTAAAAAGCGCAAGACAACCGCTGCGTCTGAGGAGCTCGAAGCCCAAGTCAAGAAGCGATGCGAAGACATCACTCGTTTCCGCTTCGACCAGGACAATGCAGAGTGGTGCGATGTTAGCCTCGAATATGATGCCGACGTTCCTAAGGTTCTCATGCTTTCTATTGTTGAAGAAGCTCTTCGATCTTGCCTCATCCAGCATATTCCAGGCATTGGATCATGTACCTATGATGGGGATAACGAAGTCAAGGATTCTAAGACAGGAAAGATGGTTAAGATACCAGTGGTTCATACCGAGGGTGTTAACCTTAAGGCAATGCAAAATTATGCCGCATTTATCAACCCCAACAAGATCTCGACCAATGACATCGCCGCAATGCTTGAGAATTATGGTGTGGAGGCTTGTCGATCAACCATCGTTCAGGAGTTGCACAGCGTTTTCCATGGTCACGCTATCGCCGTAGATATGCGCCATTTGAATCTGATTGCAGACTACATGACCAGAGGTGGTGGCTTCAGTCCGTTTAACCGAAATGGAATGAAGGGCAGTGTCAGTCCTTTCATGAAGATGAGTTTCGAAACAACCGTTGGTTTCTTGGCGGATGCAGTCGCAGAGTGTGATTGGGATGACCTGGCCAACCCAAGTAGTAGGATTGTGATAGGAAGGATGAGCAAGGTCGGCACTGGAGCTTTTGACGTTCTTACTCAAGTGCCAACGGGAAAGAATGAGGATGAGGACATGGAGGATTGAGTACTAATCTAGGGAGTTGGAGGTTGCTAGGGTTTCTTATTTGGCGTTCTATCGAAGGCATAATGTGAAAAGTGTATTGGTATATTATGATGAAATGGAATAGAATTTACTTAACCAAAGCTGATCATGCCTTTCTCGTGAAGTCAAATTCTAGATTTTGAACTGTTTTGTAATTCACCTGATTATATTGTACAACAAACTCTGGGGCCTAATAGTATGTGGTGTTATGTGATAAAATTATATAAATTGAGCCTGGTAGCCAAATACCTTATGAGGCGGTAGAAGAAAACCAATGTGAGAAAAAGAAAGGTAGTTGTGGAAGACAAGAAGATAAAATGCTTAAACATCTATGTATCATGGGCTCTTTCAAGCTAATAAGGCTCCCACAGCAGCCGTCATTACTAGCATCCACCAGGCCTCTCTCACGCAAGTAGCCCCGCCATTAACTTGCGCAGTGACCGCACTTCCAATGCTTATGTAAAAGTAGCCTTCTTGGCTTTGGTGGTTCGATCGAGGTCAAATATTGATCTACCAGCAATGTTTTTGAAGAACTAATAACATACACAGACTTTTGAAGAAAACTTTTGGTAAACTCAGTTCATGGGAAGAAACTGATACTAATGATCCTCCCCAAACGGCAAATTTGAATACAGAGCTAATGAGTGGTAAGAGCAAATTGAAATGAAAGTCATGGGGGAGAATGTTGACTAGAGACCAGATATCCCTTTCAAAATCCCACTGAGCTTTATGTTCCCCGGAAAAGAGAAGTGCTTTCATTTCTGTCAGCCCACCCAGGACATCGAACCCTGGGAAAAGCCATCCCTGAGGCGGATTCTTTAAGTAGGACAATGTACTTTGAAATTGTAAATCAGGTTCGATGAACCCAATGAATGAGATGGACCTATTGACATTCAATGAAACTGATTTAAGGCATTCTAGAGCGGTCGATGCTGCAACAATAGGTTCATCTACGCAAAGTTAGTCTGAATTATTTGCGTTCATGGTCAACTAAATGTGATCTTATCTGGAGATTGACGGATCATTGCTGAAACACTTGCACATGCTCCAGATGACGCATTTGTGAAGCCAGTTGGAGCAAATGTCGTTGATATAGTTGGGCTAGAGGATTGCTTGTGTGTTTGTTGAGCAGTCTGACTAGAAGAAGCAGCGGCAGTTGTGGATGCTGCATCTCAAACTGCCAATATACACGCAGCCGTGAACAATGAAACGCATTCTAGAGAAAAAAAACTCTTGGAAAAAGACTGTAAGAAGAGATAAAAACCTTACAGTGAACAAGAGAAGTACAGCTAAGAAACTCCAAGAAAAACATAGGTATGAAAGTAACGAGAGATAAATCAAAGATCAAAATGGAGATATGATAACGTTACGCTTGGAAGATGACTTTGATATAGATATTGAAATGCATGATTCTGGACCCGATCTCTTCATCCTGCAGTGCTGTGGGCTGTGTCCCATGCAGGTAAGATCCTTCACTACAGCAATCATATCGTCGAGAAATCCTCAACGCGTTTAAGTTCACTATCAAAAACAGGGCTGATACTACCCGATCATTGTAAATAGGTTAATAAACTCTGGAAAATGATAAGGATGGTGATTTGGGGGTAGGATCGAAGAGCCAGAGGCTGTGATAGACGAGAGGTGAGTTGTAATCTGTTGTTAGAATTCCGAGCTGCAAATATTACGTGGGAATAAGATTCCAGGCGCAAATAAGTGGATGAGCAAACTGACCTATCAATTGAGCTACCAAGAGGCTCTATTCGGCTAATACCTCCTAGACTCAAACCTTGAAATAATTATCTGAAACAGGGAAGATGGACAGAATTATGCTTACTGGTGTGTACAGGGTGATGGTAAGATAGGATAGTACTTATGTATTCTAGCAATAGTTCTATTACTGCCCGGAGTTGATTTTTTTTAGCGTTCTGCTTCAAATGTAGCCGCGATAACACTCAGGACTAAGATGGAAACAGATCTGATTCCCCCATCTAATTGTATCGACCTTCTTGATCTTCCCAAAATCATAAAGCTCAAGGGGGCGCTAGATTGATATTATGTGGTGTGATATGTCGAAAATTGAAGTACTTTATGTCATGAAGCTTTAATTTGCCTGAGAACTACCCAAGCGAGTGTATTCGTTTATTCGTTACATCACGTTGAAAGCACATAGCTATATCCTTTCAATGCACTTTTCAGATACGGATGGATCATTGTTGTAGATGACAGGAGTGTTCATTGGACGAATCTCAGCTATTAGTGTATGATTGTACAAGTTGAAGATTGGGTAACTCCAAAGCATAATCCTTAATTACCAGATCTCAAATGATTTTTTATATTGCTGCATCTATTGATCAAGAGTAGCGACAGTAGGATCCCAAGCACATACATAATAGTCCCCGGTTTCAAGCCCATTCATCTCCTCTGCCGTGAGCTCGAAATCATAAATGTCGGCATTTACCTTAATTCTGCTGGGGGTAACAGTTTTTGGTAAGGGTACAAAGCCCTTTTGTAAACTCCATCTTAGCAGGATTTGGGCTGAGGTTTTGTTGTACTTCTTAGCTAGTGGTTGAAGCAGTTTAGAGTCATGCCTCTCGCCACGAACAAGAGGGGAGTATGCTTCTAGAATAATGCCTCGTTTCTCACACCATGAAACAATATCAGCTCGAGCAAGCCACTGGTTCAAAGTCAGTCCTATTGTACTCATGAAGAAATACGATCGATATGTATAACAAGGTAATGAGGGGTAGTTGGGAACGAAGACAAATTATGGAAGCACAAGAGAGGCATCTCAAGAGGAGTCTTTCCAAATCCTGATTCTTGATTGGATGATTGTGTACAAAATTTGATAAACAGAGGGGATTGAGATGAGCAGGCTATAAGACAACTTACTGGATGGAGTTCCCATTGACCAACATCAATAACGCCACCTCTACCCTTCCCTCTTTCCTCCTCGAGTTCTTTTATATAAACTTCCATTTCGTCCAGATGATGAACACCATAATTGCTGACACCAAGACTGCGAATTTTCCCTGCTTCCTGAGCCTCAACTAGAGCTTTCCAAGCACCTTTACGAGCATCTCGCCCGCCATAAGGAGCATGGATGAGCATAAGATCAATGTAGTCAAGCCCAGTTTCCATAAGAGTTTTGGTAACTTGTGCTTTAGTGTTCTCATAGCTCAAGGCACGAGGTGGAATTTTACTAGTAAAGAAGATATCTTCACGTGGAATGCTGGATTTATGAACGGCAACGGCGCAAGGGCCTTCATTTCGATATGCCGCAGCTGAATCGACCTGTGCCAAGTTAGAGGAGTACCAGAAGCCCCTTATCTTGGAATTGATCTTACATGTCGATAACCTGCATCAAAGGCTTTGGTCACTAGATCTTCACATTGAGATGCTGGACTAAATTTGGTATTAGTTTGGCCCATATTCCTCGATGGTGGTATCTCCGTACGTTTGGTAAACTCCATACCCCAGGATAGGAATATCATATCCCGAGTTCATACGAAGCTTTGAATTGATATCGAATTTCGTCATATTGTTGCTAAAGTATAAGTCAGTTTGGAAGTCCAAATCAATGATGAGTTGTATGGAAAGATGCGGTAGAAACTAGAGTGGCAGTGACCGAGGAGAAAGATCCAGAGTTTAAGAGGAACACAATTTAATGGTACCTAAGTGGATCAAAACATCCAGGATTTGAGAACACATTCGATGCAAGGTAACAGAGAGAGGATGTATTAAGTGAGATACTCATCACGTAGTACGTACTTTTTTGAAGAAGCTGTAAACGATCTTGAATGAGTAGCTGGAATCGATGGTTTGAATTGATTTCTTATGAGATTGAGACGTGATGTTAAAGAGGATCTCATGATATAAAGGATCTAACTGGAAAACGCAGCGAAGAAGAGAAACAGGCCTACCTAAATACCCAATTCAGATATCTGATGTATTTCCGCGGTAACCTTGCCCCTCGATTTCAAATATCTTTGTTTTTGCTTAACCTTAACTCCGAGTCCGACGATGAAGAATGACAGACACGTGACAGATTTATAATTGCAGAGTAGGGCATGATTGAACAGGCACCAACAGTTTCAAAGCACGACATGGAGTGTTCTGTGTACGGTGGTACTTATAGGAAGATATAAATGTATTCGATATATGACGCTCCGCTTGGCCACTACCGTGGAGGCTTCTTCGCTTCGCTCTAGAACGGTAGGTATACTATTAAGATACATATTAGAGAGAGAGAAGTTTGATTACACGTGGTGATAACTTCTTCAACCTTGTATCTTTTGACATACCAGTACCAGATACTGAGTCTTAAAGTTCTTCTAGTTGTAACATCACCCAAACACAATGATAGTCGAGATCCTTTCTAAGAGCTGCCATGTACACACAGCAGCACGTGAGCAGACAGATGAGATCAAGGTGTTTATGCTTATGTAAGCTCTGATAAGATAATTCTTTGTCCATCGAGCTATCCGAGCCATCCCATCCTCGCCCTCGAGCCATGTGTTGATCTTAGCATTGAATTTCACACCCATTCATATCCATTGCATTGTTTACGTCATGTTGAAATCAAAAGATTCTCCAGTCACATCAAAAGAATTATCAATCCGATCTCACGAGATAATATCGAAATGTGTGAATGTCTGTCTACCTACCTACATACCTTTATGTATATTTATCAGATGAAATGTACTGAATAGAACCGCATCTTTCAACCTTTTATAGACTAAATCTTAGTACGACACCGGCTGCACACTAGATACCCCGCCATCATTTAGCCCACGGTGAAATCATCATCATATTTTTTTCTCCCAAGTCTATAAAGTTTATTCCTTCCAACCTTGCGACACAATTTCCTACAAATTTCACACCACACAATCCACTTGAAAGATACCATAATACTTTTGGAAAGTCCTACATATAATTCATTTTACATTATACAAACAAATTTTAGAAGAATAAAACGCATCTGCAGAAACCAAAAGTTATGCGCCTTCTTGAACAACATATCGAGCGTGATGGCTCTGGAACCATCACTCTTATGCCCGAGGAACCAGAAGATATGGTTCGCCTGCTCCCTATTCTCTCCCTTCACTCACCAATTCTAACATATCTCAGTGGCATGCCTATAACCTCATAACCCCCACCGACATCCTACGCGCCAGCGCCCTCCGCAAGATTAGCAGAGAAACCGCCACCGGAAGCGTAACCACAACCCGCACACACTGTACCTTATCCATCAGCGTAGTGTCTTTAGATTTCGATCCACAAGCCGGTCAATTGCACGTCAAAGGTCGCATAAGCGAAGAGAACTTATACGTCAAGGTCGGCGCATATCATACTCTCGATCTGGAGCTGAATCGCAAATTCAGAATCGCCAAAATCGATGGTTGGGATTCCGTTGCTCTAGATGTGGTGAAAGAAGCTATTCGAGAGGACAAAGAGGGCGTAGTGCCTGCGATTGTGATGCAAGAGGGAATGGCCAATATATGTTTAATCACTGAACATCAAACCATTTTAAAGCAGAGAATCGAAACCAGGATACCGAAAAAGAGAGCCGGGATGGCTGGAGATTACGATAGTGGAATGAAGCGCTTTTACCAGACGGTACTCGAAACACTCCTGAGATATGTAGATATTACTCAACAGCGCCCATTATTACTCGCAAGTCCCGGATTTGTCGCACAGGGTTTCCAGAAGTACATACTGGAGGAAGCAAGTAGGACAGGAAATAAAGCCGTACTAGCCAATAAGAATAATTTCGTCGTGGTACACAGCAGTTCCGGTCATCTTCACAGTCTCAACGAAATCCTCACGAGTCCAGAAGTATTGGCTAAACTCAGCAATACGAAGTACGCCCGCGAAACCCGGTTTATGGATGAATTTATGACGATGCTTCGGAAAGACGACGGTAGAGCATGGTATGGACCGGCTGAAGTGGAGAAAGCAGTTGAGCAGGGTGCGGTAGGAGCAGGCGGTGGTGTTTTACTAATAAGTAACGAATTATTTCGAAGTCAGGAAATAGGAGTTAGGAAGAGATGGGTTAAAGTGGTAGATAAGGTTAGAAACGATGGAGGAGAAGCGAGAGTGTTAAGTAGTGATCATGAAAGTGGAAAGAGGTTGGAGGGATTAGGCGGTATTGCAGCGATACTGACGTATCCTTTAGAGGACCTGGATGAGGAGAGCGAGGAGGAAATTGAAAACGACGAGGATTCGACGGCGAAGGGGGTACAGGCTATGGTTATATAGCCTCATAGATGAAACGTGAAGCGGTTAATATGTTTGTAAACTCATGATCTCATCTCTTGGGTTAGCGAGATCTAAGAATAATGAAAAAGCCCTGGAGATCATAAATCACACAAACTACGCGAATGCATTCGGAATGTCTTGATATCATCTTATCTTTTCCATTTATTTTCATACTCCATACCCACCCATCTATCCACTTAATCCATCCAATGTAAACTTCATACCTGTCTTCCCGCTCAAAGAAAGAACCCTTCATCGTAGATTTTCTTGTAGCTGCTCAATACCAACCTCAAAATCAATATCAATATCAAAATCATAATTCAAATACAAAAAGAATCCTTTCATCTCAATCTCTCTCCATCCACTATATATTATATATATATTATATATACTAAATATATACTAAATATATACTAAATATATACTAAATATATACTTACATTCCTAGACTTAAACTTAAACTTAATAATAAGAGATATTTATTTTCGCATTCGCTATCTATCTATTTATTTATTTATATTATATTTCTATTTATATCTATATCTATATATATCTAAAAATCTAAAAATCTAATTTCTATATTTCCTCCCATTTAAAATCGAAATCAATCTCATAATTAAACCCCTAATATCTTTAATTTATTCATTCGAATCTATATCTATATCTCATCTTATTTTCTATTTATTTATTTCTTTCTTTCTTTTTAAGAAAAAAGAGAGATCGATATTTAAATAAAATAACTTATTAAGTAATAAGATTTATAAGAATCGATTAACTATTCATAATGTCACGGGGTGACACTAAGCCCTTTCTGTCCTGTCCTGTTCTGCTATATATATAAGAGTAAGATAGAACTTCCAATTCTACCTTTTAGTCTTTTGAGCATTTAGCTTAGCAATAAAGCTTTTGAATACTCCCAGAGGTGATCCTATGACATTAGATAGAACTACCCTTAGTTATAAGTGGAGCTGTGTGGGGGGCCCACTTATAGCTTACAAGCCTTCATTGGTTTGGGGGCTAGCATATATAGATTCTGTCTGTCTATCTGAATGTCTGAGGCATTAGAATCCAGAATCCTGAAACCTCTTAGTAGGTGATGGTATGGAGATTATACCTTAAAAAGGGGGGTGGTGTTACAAGATAACACTAAGCCCTTTCTGTCCTGTCCTGTTCTGTTATATATGTGAGAGTAAGGTAGAACTTCTAGTTTTACCTCCTAGTCTTTTGGGCGTTTAGCTCAGCGGTAAAGCTTCTGAATACTCCCAGAGGTGATCCCGTGACACATAATGCGTTTTATTTTTAATTTTTTTTTTTGAGAATCGAATAGATTAATCGTCTAAGATATTATTTGTTATTACTATATTGTATTTATTTACTATATGAATATCTATCAAGATATCAGAAATCATGAGACTTGATATTGAGGAGATTAAAGTATTAAAGGATTTGAGAACGAAAATTTATGCTGCATATATATAAATTAACAAACAGTCTACGCCCTGCATATCGATTTAGTAACTTCTTTTGCCCGTCTTCTTTTCTCATGTTGTATAAGAGATACTTCAAATGCCTCTCCTCATCTCAATCGTTCAAATTATTCTTCAATAGAAAATGTCGTACTACTAACTCGAATATCGACCTCACTACAGAAAAAGGATACAGACTACCATCATCCAAAGTCGAACTTCTATACGATTTATAAAATTATCTGCTACCCCTGACACCCTCTCCCATTTCGGTCTCAACGATACGCCTTGATCATCATCACATATACATTTCATCCGCATCCTCCCCAAGGATATCTTTAACACCCAATCTCATCGGATCTCCCCGCGTCAAACTTTGATGAATATTCTTCAGCGGCGGAGGTACATAAGGGCCAATCCCAGGAGCATCAAGACTCGCTCTTCTGACCACTCCCTGACGATAAGGCGCATCTGTAAAGTATGGCGAATGCCAAACACACGCCATGAAAAGTTCCTCGCCCGCTTCGTCATCGGTAAAACCATCTGGCATGTCAGGATGCTCTAGGAGTTCTGTTCTTATGCCTTTGCTTTTTTCTATCTTCCATATTACATTTGAGTCGTACATTAAAAGAAATGCGTCGATATCTCTGGATTCTTGGTGTGCATCTACATCTTTGAGATTTCGTCGACAGATGAAATCAAATATTTCTGTGAGTTGTGCGTCGGGCTGCGGAGGTACTTTTATTTCTGTTTGCTGTGGTGGTGTGGGGTCCATCCAGCCTTTATAGTTGACTTGAATGACGCCATACGCGGCAAGAGAATAGCTGATTTCGATTAGTAAACGTTTCAAAAACCGACAGAAAACAATCGGATATCTTACTAGAAGAGTTCATCTTTCGTGTTCGCCACAAGTAGGAAGGTTTTCCATTCCCCATTCGTGAGTTCAATTCCACCGTGACGAAGGATATAGCACCTGACCAAATGCGCAGGCAATTGATATTTAAATGTGTGTATGGCAAGTGCGAACTTGTTTCGTTCTAGATACATTCTGATCTCATCGTACCTGGGACAGTCCATTTCGACAGCATCAGCTCTATCGGCACGACCGATGATGGGCTGAAAACCATATTCCCCAGTAGGAAGCCTTGGTGATAAGACCTTCGGGTGGACATTTTTTGATGCTTCCTTGATTATTAAAGCCAATTTTCTTTTTTCGGCCTCAAACGAATGGGTGACTTTAGTCGTTCTTCTAGAAAAAACTCCTGGAGCCTTTTTCTCAGGCCCCGGAGTACCCGTAGTATGTCTGAGAGCAGCCGCAGTCTCACCTCTTCGTCGAATAACGCCTATTATCTTGGGACCCGCTTGAGTTGCCTTTGAGCCAAATCTGTGTGATTATAAGTTAAACTTATGGCCATATTCCCAGACTATCCTTGAGCAGATCTTAAACGAATAAACTTACTTCCTCACGTAAACGTCCCAAAATTCTTCACACTCGAGGCTCATAAAGTAAGAGACAGGGATCGGATAGTACATTATGTTTTCCCAATTCTTCTGCTTTTCCGGAGCCAGTACGGGCATAGTAGCCGTGTAAAACTCATGTCTGTACGTAGGCCAATTATAGCTAACATTGATGTCAGATTGAGGCGACGCGGGATAATATAAGGAGATAAGAGTTGCTCACAAGATTAAACCTCCGGAGGAGTATCCCGCAGTGTCTACTGGATTAATAACCGAAAGCGAGATGCCACCAAATACCTTAAAAAACTGTTTAACAAGGACTAATACGAAGATCATGAGAAGAATCTAGACTCATAGACATACCTGATTTGTTGCAGAGAATCCCCTATATAATAGTTAGCTTCTCCGGCAAAAACGAACGATGCTTGACTTGCAATTCTGGTATAGGCTCGTTGTCAAAGTAAGGCTCGGCCCAGCCCCAGCCCTCAAGTTCTTTGTTCATTCTGACCATTTGATGGCCCATGGCATGCTGATTTGATCAATGGTGAGCCAATCCGAAATTCGAATGCAACTTACCGCAGTCTCGTGAAGAATATCTTCTGCTAAGCGAAAATCGTCCAAGGCTCTGTCTTCTGGCAAGAGAAGAGGGTTCAACAACGGCTCGACCAATTCATAGGCGATGGTAACAAGTGTAGCTCGATGTTCGGGCGGACTGCTTGATGTACCTCGACGTGGGGACCACCTGGTCAAGCCGGCTTGAAAGTTACCTAGTTCAGCCATTCCATCCTGAGTGCTCTTACACGGGATGCAAGTTTCAGTAATTGTCTCATGAGGAATTGATTTTTGGGAGGGAAAACAAGAGTCAAAAATGTGCCTGTACAGAGAAATTTGCCGAAAGGAATTGAAAACTTAAGATCTGAAATGGAGAAGTAGGGTCCACTAAGCTGAATACATACTTTGGCTCCTACCAATGCATAATTAACCTGTTTTGACATCTTCCCCAATAGCTCTATAGCGTAAGATGCAAGTTCCTTGTTTTTTCTGTCCTCCATGGACTTGAAACGCATTGCATGAAGGCCAAAATCAGGTGGAAGTTCCGTTTCTGGAATCTCTACCAGTTCACCCTTCAGCAACGCATTGAACCTTTGCCGTTAGCGAAATAGAAATGAATCCTAACGACCGGAAAGCATACCAGTCCCACGTATGTATGTTAGCGATAACGCTTGATACAATCTTTATAGCCGGTAACATTGCATTCCACACGCTGGATGCCGGTGTTTTAGTAAGGGTGTGTTCAAAGATAGAGTATACTCACGCATCATTCGCGGCCTGAGTTGCTTAGTAAGTCTCAACTAAACATTTCGATACGGCGGATTACTTGCCTCCCAATATTCATTACCATCTCCTAATGGATACCTAGCCAGATTTTTCGGAAACTCATATAGCCAATTGCTTCTTTCTAACACGGGATGGATTGGGACTTTTCCAAGATCACTTCCATAGTCTATCCTTCGACTTATAGTTTCCTGAGAATCTGGCAAAGCTAGAACTGATTTCAACTCTGCTGCGGTGAAACCTTTGACCAGCGTTAATCATCAAGTAAAATGTCATTGAGGAGAGCCTACCAGAGAACCTGATTCTTTGATACAATTCAAGACGTTCGTCAAGATTCAATTGATCTTGGGGTTTTAAGAATTGTGCTGGAGTTACTGGTGTGAGACCGCTCTTCAATTGGGGCAGGTAGCTTTTTAGCACGGAATGAATGCCTCCTTTGGGATGTCCATACTTTCTAGCAAAGGGTGTAGGTCCTGCAAACCTTACGTGAGTTCCTTTTGGTGTTAATGGATCCATATTTTGTACCGCTGTAACGTGCAATTGCTGTAATTGACGAATAGTTCATAGTAGATCACTCGCAAATGCAAATAACAGAAGGTAATAGATCATTTGTTCTTCATGTCTGCACTGCACAACAACAGAATGACAAAGGACGATGGGCCCCTTGTGATTGTGAACAAAGAAATGTGACTCCAACACTTACATTCCGTATAAAGCTAGCTTTTCTCCTTCAGTTGGGACGAATTTATCACACTAATCAACTTATGGAATATCAGTGATCTGAAAAGTCGTTTGGGGTAGTTTAATCTCGATTTTTCGAAACGGTATCATATTTTGAAGATGAGAAGTGAAGCTTAGTATGGTATCATCATTGGTTATCTATAAAAAGAAGCTCAAGACGGGACAGACATCCATTGACGATAAAGAGAGAAATATCATCCCATACCTTACACAGTTTGCAACTGCCTTTTGATTCAAATCGACCCAAACATAAAAAATCACGTGCATATATAATTGCAAGCGGGGGTCCTCAAGTGTTCTTGAGATGAATTGTTTGTATTCATCATCTCGGAGGGTCTTCAGTCGCCGGGGGCTTTCAGTCGCTAAGAGTCGAAATATATATAAATTTAAAGAAGGAAAGATGGTAAATTAGCATTGAGAGAGATTGATAGAGGTCGAGGAAGTTGAGGATAGTTGAATATTAGAGTCTAGACTCGGTGTGGAATAGTTTCATGCACCAAGAATGATCTCGACATTCTTTAGGTTATGAGATTGCAACATAGTTACCTGGTCAGCTTGACTTGAGGTTACTTAAGATGCATGCATTGCATACACTAGTATAACAATATCTGGATAGATTGGAAATGGAGTAAACAAAGGAGAGGAAGGTATGTAGTAGAGGAGATGACAAGAGGGATTGGATTAATTTGAACGATGTTAGGCTTGTCAAGATGTTTGTTGCCAAGTTTTGGATCTGGTGCAGGTAACTACTACTAGAAGTAGGTAGGTAGGTAGAACTTTCAACGTTTTTCGAATACTCTCATGGTCCTTTGGAAAAATGTGTCAATATCTTCAAAAAACTGAAGGTGGGTGTGGAGACTGTGGAGTCGATGAAGTTGTTATGCAGCAAAAGCACAGATAAATTTGAATTTGTTTCGAGTGAGCGATCGAGCTAGTTCAGTATCAATAGTGGAGTACTCACTGACCACTGCTCATTCTCATTCAAGGACTCAAGGTTCCCCCCAGTGCTCACACTTTGAACTTATGATGTACACAACTCGGTACGGCAAGACCGATGTCATAGAGGGGGAGGGGCCTCGGAGGTGTGAGGTGTGAGGTGTGTGAGACCTTACCTACAAGTGTATGATGATTGATCAATGATCAATGACGATGGCCCAAGAATGATTCTGATCTTCTTCTATCGTCGATTGTAAGTGGAGAAGGAGTGATGATTCTTCTCTTGAAGTGAATCTCATGATGAAGCTGTACGTGAGTTTTAGATGCTAGCCTCCTAGGTACATACATACGTAAATAAAAATCGTAATTGTCGCTCCGCTGGGCCACTGCCGTGGGGGCTTCTTCGCTTCGCTCTAATAGAAGAGCAATCACTCCTCAGTTCACTGCAAGTCATCATATTCATCATCGATGAGTTGATGAATTGGGGAAAATCGAGCGCAGCGAGGACGGGGGTTTGGGGGTTTACCCCCATTAAGAGAATATATAATAATGATAATAAAATAGATAAAGAATTGAGATTTGCCATACATAATAGAAACGTGCGAATTGATAATAAGTATGGATACTATGATAGGTGCCGGTATGTGAAGTATTGAAGTATTGAAGTACAGTATATTGTTGATGCGTGTATGGTATGTGTGATATGTGTAGTATGCAGACGGCAGAAGACGGCTTCAAGGTTGTAACTTGTCACATCAAACTGATCTATACCGTTAATGGATTAAATCTCCACATTTTACCGTTCATTATACCAACCGTTCCTTCATCCCCGCCCAACCTTAGCTCTGCTTGCTTCTGTTAGTCCTCTTTACTTTCCTAGTTTCATCGTGATGGAGGTCTGAACTTCACATATATTGGCTGATCGTCCTTTAGCTGCAGTTTCTTGAGACGCGAAAAGACGCCACCACACAATATAATTGGGGAATTTGATATCAGATGTGACTCTAGGGAAGAGATGGCTTATTGGGAATGCAAGAGACCGTTTATCCAAGCTCCAAGCTCCAAGGTCGATATTGGATTGGATTGGATGAGAAACGAAGATGAAGATGTAGATGAAGAGGGATGATGGAAAGAATCGAAATAGAGTTTGAGGTGAGGGTATGAAGTAGGTATGAAGTGAATGAAGCAGGTATCAAGTGGTGCAAGAAGAAGAAGTGGAAAGGAGAAAGCCAAGAGGACAAGATGGGAACGAGGAGGAAACGGAGATAAGATGCATGTCTCTCTGCTTGTTTGAAAAATAAATTGAAGTTTGAAGGACGGGAAAGGGTTGGCATTGGTGGACGCTGTGAGCTATTCGAATCTAGACAATGCAGGTTGGATGCAAGTATGTAAGTCTTACGACTTGGGTATGCAAGAAGAAAGAAAAGAAGGAAGGCGTTGACGAGATAGATAGAGGGATAGAATGACTGAGGATGTAGTAAATGTATTTGGTGAATAGTTACATAGATGGTGTATTGTATGTGGAAGGGATAATAAGTGTGTGTTGTGTTATCTCTTATGATAGAAAAGAGACGAAGAGATGAAGATTCAACAATTCCCATTATTTCTCCTTGAACCCTTCTTTCACCCTTTTCTTTTCTTTCTTTCTTTTCTTTTCTTTTCTTTTCTCCCCTCTCTTCTCTCTGACTCTAACCCTTTTTTCTATTTGTCCTTTGGGGGTTTGTGTAAATGTATGAGCTGCCAATCAAAGTTTCCTTTCTCCATATTGATTAGTTTCTTTGGTTGAGATATCCAATGATAATTTCCCACACTTCTTTTCCTTTGATCGTTCTCCTTCTCCTTCTCTTTCTTTCTTTCTTCACTCCATACTCCATCTTCTCTTGACCATTAATTTCCATCAATCACAAATTCACTCCAATCAAACATCAATCACACATCCGAATCACACCAAACCCCTTCCATCCACTCCATCTCCGATCATTCAAGAATTAAGTTTGGTACTTGACAGTATTTGTTCAAGGGCATACTGCTTGGTGGTAGACATAAGAAGATAAAAGTGGTACTCTTACTATATTCATACTATACTCATACTTTATTCCTTCTATACTCATACTATACTCATACCATCATATTACCTAGTCCTTACTATTCGTCCCCAGACTATTGACACGGTTGTGCTTATCTATCCGCTTTGGAAACTTGGGGTCTGCGATAAGATAGAGATCCCCTGCCTGCCTGCCTGCCTGCCTTCCACCACCACCACCTCCTCCTAGCTCCCTCCACATACCTAATCCTTCCACGCACTACTTCGACTTCTACTTCGACTTCGCAATCGGAAAGGGAAGTTGTCTCATCTTGTACATTGCCATTGGATGGATGATTTGATCCACCAAGCTTTTGGGTATGTGTATATGTTTTACTTATTTATTTGATACTTCCATTTCCTTCCAAGAGCGAGAAGACAGTCAGGTATATCAAGATCAATTCATTAAACTTTGTTTGCATTGCATGGCATTCATTCATTCATTCATTCATTTACTCACACTTATAAAATCACAGATGCTCGACTCGAATTCCTCACATTCCTCACAATAACCACGCCCCAGCCTTATCTATCTCCCAATCCATTGATTTGGCTTTGACGGTGCCATTACAACCATCACACGACTTCCCCCAAATAGCAATATAAACATTCCTCCCTCAACAACACACTATATTTTTGCTAAAGGATCGTTGCGCTGGTTACATACATACATACCCTCCCAATATCTTCTTACATGTTGAATCCCGACCATAAACAATATTTATCCATTCCAAGGTTGCAAGATTGCTTCAATTCAATAATGGCTACAATTGCTCTCCCCAGACCCATTCCCGCAGGACACACGAGATCTTCTTCACCACCCCACTCACACCCGTTAACTCCCACGCTAAGCCTGGATTCTCTCAATTCATCGTCGGCCTTCCCAATTCCTATTCCAAATAAACATCTACCAGTATGCCCACCAGGTCCCACCCCATCCGAGAAACCAGATACCCCTCCCAACTCCCCACCAACCAAAGAACTTTCTTTGTCCCAACGATCAATCCTGTATCCGCCCGTCAATTATAATTCACGATATATTGACTCGTCCATAATATATGAGATTGACGCCGGTGGTGTAGCTACTGCGTTGGAACATTTAGCAGGCCAGCCTCTCCCTGATCCTTCCCAAGTCTTTCCATGGTTTCATGGCCTGCATCCCTCCAATCACATCCAACAAGCTTTCTTTATAGCACGGCGGCGAACCTTGCGCAGAACCCCAAAATGTATTCGAGGTATAACCATTGTCAAGGCCGATGGAGATTTGACTTCTTCGAGACTGAAAGGTGCAATCACTCCTGACGAGTTCTTGAAGTTTGGAATCACGACGGAATTTCAAGAAGTCGACCCCAAAGAAGGATTTTCGGTCCGCAACTTTCAAATACAAGCCGCGAAATCTGCCATGGTATCAGACATTATTGTGTACGGAGAGGATTCGCGTAATGTCGAGCGACTGGCGAGGGAGATTGCTGCTGCACAACAAGCTGTTCGTGAGACTCATTTCAATCAAGGACATGAAATATCTCAATACAATACATTTATATGCACTAGTGCGTTTAGTGAGTTCGAGGAAAACTATCCACAAATTGTTTCGGTGGATTCTCGGGCGAGGTGGACTGGGGAAGTCATGGATTTCTTTCATCAAGAGAGAGTGGAGATGTGTGCCATGACCAAAGCTTCGGAAATCGATCATAATGTTTGGTTGGGTCCAACCCCAGATGGATACTCGGAAACTCGCCAAGCGTCTTGGGAAGGA